TAAAAAAAACTGGTCCATGTTAAGGCTCCATCCTGCAAAGCTGATCTGTCAACTGCTATTCGAGAAAGTTGGAACCAGATTGATGGGGAATATTGTTTTTCATTAGTGAAGTCTATGCCTCAAAGAATAAAAGCCAGAGGAGGAGCAACAAAGTACTAATTGTGTTTTTTTGTTGATGATTCCATAATTTTTTCCTCAACATTGAGTGATTCAATACTTTTTTCCTCTACTTGATTTTGAAAAAGACATGCCATTAATAAAAAAAAGTGTCAGTAAATTTTTTTTATGTATGTTTCACAAAGCCAGAATGTTAAGCTATTGAACAAAACCTTTTTTGTGTCATATCTGTGATTTGTTTGTTTGCTATAAAGTAAAAAAGCTGGGTGAACATCCTCTAAGTGTGGTGATTCCATAATTTTTGCCAGGGGTTGTAGCAGTAACTTGGAAATTTTGTGGCTTCAGGCAGACTCTTGAAAAGAAACGCCTTGAAGAAGCATATTGTTTATGCGAATATGCAGCCATATGAGCTCGCCAGTACCAAGATAGCAGAACCCCCTGCAATTTTTTTTTTGTATTGGGTATTTTAATTTTATGTTTGAATGATTTGTATAGCAGGTCAGCAACATTGTTCATAATGCCACAGCAGCATCAAAATAAAAATGGCATAAAGGTTAGACCATCACTGTGCATACCGAGCATGCTCTTTTCTGTAATTTTTGTTTCATTGCGGACTTGAAAATTTTGGGAAACAGAATGGAAATGCTTGTGTAGCTTTTAGGGAATTAGGGAAGACGTCAATAATACTACTACTAATAATAATAAACTCTTTGAAGGGATATTTGCATCCCTATTAGAAAGGGTTCCTAGTAGTACTTTAAAAAAAAAAAAAAAAAAAAAAAAAAAGTCACATTCCATAAAAGCTTTCAATAGTTTTAAAATGCCTTTGCCATTTCAATTCCCCTTTGAGATTGGAAACTCCCATATGAAGGGACATTGTAATATTTTATCAGCTCTTGTAAGATTATACAAGCTCTTGGAGCTTAGAGACAGACAGCATAGCAGTATACTTCAAGAGAACTTGGCCATAAGCTATTACAACCAAATCTTCCTCTTTAAAATAGGAAAAAAACTGCAATGTGGGTTTAACCATTTGGTCTCTGGTACACCATTCTCCCCTTGAGCTTCTAAAGTCCACTCAGGTGACAGTGATGAGATATTACCTCTGTACTCAGAAGTACCTGTCAGCAAGGGCTTAGTGAAGACAGTAGTGAAAAAGGTCCTAAGAGTGTTACTACAGCTAACAGCAGTGCTCAGATGCAAAACTAATCCTGATAACTCTACTTCTGTGTGGAACTTTCTGTACTTGTCACTCACCTTCTGTTGCTGTGGAAAGTCCCGCATTGATACCCTAAAGATTTTAAATTCCCAAAAACTGGTTATGCCCGAGTCTCACCCTTGCTTCAGTGGATAATCTGACCTGGACGCTGTCGAGTTGGACTGAAGAACTGCTTCTGTAATTATAAAGACTGCCCAGGACACTTATTCACAACCTGCTCACACTTAACATCCTTTCAAACACATTGTATTGTCTGACGTTACTCTTCTACACCTGTATACTGTAATGACGTGAACTCACTCCTCAGCGTCGCCCACATGATGCTGTTTCCTCTTAAGGTTTCATCCTCATGTCGTCTCCTTGCCTGCTGCCTCTGGCTCACTCATTAGGGATCTAAACCTACGTCTGGATTTCTATAAACCTGTTTTATGACAACGTCTATTGTTAAAAGCGTTACACAAATAAAATCGAATTGAAAACGTTTTAACCAATTTAACACATTCCCACTACTCAGACAAAAAAAGTAATAAAACACAAAAAAGTATGGTTTCAATATTTATTTCATCAAAGAAACTTAACCTGTAGTCATATGGTCAAGAGGTTAAGCATATCATCTAATTTCAATGTTTTCCCCGCCTTTGAAACCACTTCTTTGCTAATGCTGCACATATACCCTATGTCCAACAGAAGGTTGTGACCACAAAGAGTAATCCATCTCTACAGTGTTGTGAAATTTCAACACAAACAAAATAAAAAAAGAAAAAAAAAAAGAAAAAAAGGACCTAATAGGGAATAAGGACAATATTGTGTACTCGAGAACACCACTGGTTTGTTCATGCATTTTTTTTTTTTTTTCTTTTACTTGTGCTCTAGAAAGAAGGCACCGGACAACAGTCTGCGAGACACCAGAGACTTCAGGGAGCTGGAGCATCACGCTACGAAAATGATTTTCTCCCAAAAACAACACCCCAAAATAAGAGGCAGGTCATTTATTTCAAATCATTGAAACTATCATGAAGAATTACACCTCTAATGTGGCTTGACATTAATTAGGACTATCTACATATACATATAAAACAAAAAAAAAAAATCAATATTGTATTTGTATTATGCATATAGTTTGAGGGGACAGGCATGTCAGTCCTAAATCTGCACTCATCACACACTGTCCTCAGTGTGTGTGCAAAACAGGTTAGACTGAATCAGATCAGGTGGGTACTGAGAGCTGAGTACGGGGATGGGGGGAGAGACGTAATATAAAAAGGAGTTTACAAATAAAAAGGGAAAAAAAAAGGAGAAAGTAATTTGTTAACAGAAGTAAAAACCCATAAAACTATGCTGCATTTCAGTACACGTAAAGATTGAAATTGTTGTGACTTTACATAAAATGGCCTTATTTCTCCATTTATTACCAGAGAAGGTGTGAGGGCTCTACTGGGAACCTACAAGAAGAAAAATAAAAGAACAAATACCATGCAGAAGAGTAATACAGAGCATTGAAAGGTAAGAATGGGTGATTGCAACTTTCTTTTCCAAAAAGGCAAAACTACAGTGGTACTCGTATTGAGGGATTGTAAGGGTTAACTGCAGTTCTACACAAGCACTGAAAATATATTCGGAAGCTAAAATAAAATGTAAAACACTGGAGACTAAAAGCAAATCCCAAAAGCTACAGAGTGCATCATTTTTAAACACGACGGCCCTCCATTTCTCCACTTAAGAGCCTAGTCCAGTGTCATTTAAGAAATAAAAGAGAAAGAAAAGAAACCTGATGTCTTTTTTTTTTTTTTTAATTTTAAATCATTGCTGTTGCTTGACAATTTTTTATTCTTGAAGTTTTTGTTTTTTTCCTTTTCTGATCAGCCGCTTCTTCCTTGCTGTTTACTTCTTTTTTTCCTTTATTTGATTTTCCAGACTACTTTGTATTAACGCTCCTTTCAGTATTTCGATGGTGACTCTCCACATGCGTCCACATTCAGCCCTGCCTGACACACACTCCAGTCAGTCACACGCACACTCTCTTTCTCGCTCTCACACACACACACACACACACACACACACCCATTCGTCTGCTGACTTTGCACACGTAGCGCAGTCGAGGAATGACACGCGCTGAAAGTTAGAGATTTCGGAGGTAAGCTCCGCGTCCTCGGCCCCAGGTCCATACATTCATACGCAAAAACGGCTCACTCGCACACACCTCTCACAGCGGGGCCCATTGTGGGGAGGGGAGACGCCAACCGGTATGACACCTCCCGCTGCTCAGTTCATTTTTTTGTTG